GTGGTACTAAAATGTCGTTGCCACTACTTTTGGATACCCCTAAGTATAACCAGATATTGAAATAAATAATAGAGAAATAAAAAGGTAAGATGATCTATTTATCTATAATAGATCATAGAAACGAAAAAAGAAGTGAATTTTGATGATCAACAATAATTCAATAAATTCTATTAAACAATAACTCAATTCTATAAATAAGATAAAATTGTCTATATTATTGTATCAATATGAAATTGTCATACAAATTATTGACAAGTCAAAATATAGAGGATGTCACAAAAGTCACCTACCAAAAAAAAAATTTCAATATCTTCCTTACGGATCGAACAAACGAGCTGAATTTTTTGTCAATTGAAGAGGCGTGTTCAAAGTTTATATTGATAAAGACATGCCTAGAGAGACTCTCTGTTAAGTGTCACTATTGGCCTCAACAAAAAAATGTTTACTTTGTCATAGATAAGAAAAGAAACAATATATGTAGAGAGTGGCGTGAAAGTCAGTTTGCTGAAAAAAAAAGAATTGAATATCTCCACTGTGGCTCGAACAAATGAGCTGATTTTTTTATCAATGATAGGGATACGTTCAAGGTTTATATTCATAAAGACATACCTAGAAAGATCCTTTGTCAAGTCAATTGTTTTCTTTTCCTATCTGTGAAAAAGTAAATTTTTTTTGTTGAGGCCACTAGTGATACTTAACAAAGAGTCTCTCTAGGCATGTCTTTATCAATATAAACTTTAATCATGCTTCTTCAATTGACAAAAAAATCAGCTCGTTTGTTCGATCCGTACGGGAAATATTGAAATATTGTTTTTGGTAGGTGACTTTTGCGACACCCTCTATATTTGAAAGATGTTAACATTAATCGAATGATAGTTTTATCGATATCTATCGTTACTGTTGGAATCTTTTTCAAATTCTTCCTATTTAAAGATCTTTTTATCCGATCAAGATAATCTATTGAAATTTCTATCTAGAGACGATTTCAACGATTATTAGTTTTTGTCAACATGTTTTATAATCATTGGTTGAAAGAGAAAGTGTAACGTTCAATTTCAATTTGATCGTTATTTAAAAGAATAATTATTATATTAAAGAGAATAATTATCATATTATACATATATATCTTGAATGATTTATTATCCAAAGAGACTATTCAATATGTTGTTTTATTAATTATTTATAATGATTGAATGTATAAAAAGTCAATACTCTCATTGAAATTGTTAATTATATTAAGATAAAAATATATAATATATAAATTATTGATAAAATAATAATTTGTTTTCAGAAGATAATTCAATGTCAATGTCAAAGAGTTGAATTTCTATATAATAAAATCTTAACCCTTTACCTTCGGTTGGGCCGTTTTCGACCCATTCGTAGAACTTTTGCAGAAAACAAAGGAAACTTGATAATCGAAAGTTCTGAAAATAATATTATAGGAGACTCCATAAGCTATTGATTGATGAAAAAAAATAATTTGTTCTGTTGTTCTGTCTTTGAGATCTCCGACTAACAAAATTGCTAATTCTGTAAAATAGAATAAAAACAAAATTTTAAAAGCAAGTTAAATATGTAATCAAAGTCAATAAAGTTTTGGGAGAGGCATTGTGTATTTTATGGTGATCCTATATGTTTAGCATTTAACTGAATGGTTTTGACAAAATTTCATAACTGCTTTGGAGACAAATAATAGTAGGATAAAGATGGATTCTCAAAAGTCTTGTGAACTGAAAGAGAACAATGAGATATATTATTTGTAAATCTGATTACAGCCACAGTTGAAAAAAATATGCACTATCGATTAATTGTTTTCAATAATGAGAGAACTACTTAAATAAAACTAACTACATTTTTAAAATTTACGTCAAAAATACATCTAGTGTTTTAAAGTAGCTCTTTATATAAGATACATTTCGTCTTTGAATCTTATTTAAATGAAAAGGAATCGATGAGACCTTTCCTTAACTAGCACTATCATAGAAAAGGAAGGAGATGAAGATTTTCAAATTATTCTCTTATCCTCTTTGTTTTCTAGGTTACTGTCGACATAAAAGTATCTTATATATAGGTTTGTGTTTCTGATTGATCTGAGCGTACCATTGATATATCTACCATGACTATACTCGATTTCTATAGTGATTCTATCAGTAACACTGCCGAAACAGTTTTAGGGAGTAAAGGATTAATAAAAAAGAAAAAATGTCTATAAATAAAAAGGATTGAATTTATGTTAATATGAAAGAATATCATATATATACGATAAAAGTCTATTAAATAAAAAATGTTTGTCAAATAGAAGTTTATCCTATGATTATTTTATTGAAATAAGACAATATCGAATATAGAATAATTATCTTATGAAGGTCTTGTGTTTTTTTTTTAACATGAAAACAAATTTATATTGATTTAGATAAAAAAGAGAATATATTTTGTTTTAGAAAATTTCTCATCTTTATCTTAATTAACTAAGTTTGAGAAGATTATCGAAAATAAATATAAGTTAAAACTACCAAGGGACATATATATCTATAATATGAATAATAAATGACAATTATATATCTATTCAATATTTATTTATTTGAAATATTTTCATTATTTAAAATGTTAAATTATATCTTAAGAAAATATTTTAGAAAACAATAAACAAATCATTTTTATTTTGGTTAATAAATAAGATTATTGAATTTATTCAAAATAAGGGATTTTTTAAAATGATTTTATTCTTAATATGATATTTTCTATTGATTTTAATCTCGAAATCGATTTGAATAACAAAAAAAAACGAAAAGAAATCTTTTATTCATAAAGAAAATAAAATCATTTTTTGTTTTTGTTTATTAATAAATATTCGAAATGTAAATATAAATTTATTTCTATATGAAATAAATCTAAAAATATTTCTATAGATATCTAGATCTCTTCTAGACAGAGAATATTTTCATTTATTTCGATTGATAAAAAAAACCTTTTTGTTTTATTGATAAAATAAAAATGATTAAATAAAGGAAAAAGTATCTATCTATGATAAAGATAGGTGTCCAATCGTCGACATACTTCCAAACGAAGAACAGGACGATTAGTCAGAAGACCAATTCGAAGACTTTACCTAGAACTGATCGAGTTCATCGAACAAGGATCGATCACTTTTTTCATAATTCTTCACCAAAAATACGAATCAAATCCTGGAAATTTTATCATCAATATGAAAAATTTTGTTAAGATTAAAGTTTTATTTGTAGAAATGATCTGACCTGCCTCTCGCTCGATAGAGTTCTCATGATGAACACGAATTATTTATTTATCTAAATATATTTTATATAAATCTAAGAAAAAAATGAAAAGCAAAAAAATTTTATTTAATATAAATGATAGGAATCATTTCGGGTTAAAAATAAAAATGTGACAAATAGATATAAATTGTGTGAAAAAGAATAAAAATTCCCTTAAGGATAATCGATTATCTTGTTTAAGATCATCTTTCAAGATAAATATATATTTTATTGAAGAATATTTTTCTTTTATTTGGTAACGAAAAAAAGAAAAAGAAAAAGGTTTATGTAATAAAATGATGATTAAACAAAAAAAATGAAATAAAATGATAAATGTTGATGTTCGTGTTCGTCTTGAATAATTAATCAAGTAAATATGTTAATGTAGGTGGAGACGAATAAATGTCACGAATACGATATATATCAACCAATCGTTATAACATTTATTTTATTTATCTATCGATTCATTGAGTTTGTTTTTTTTTCTTTTTCTTTTCATTTTGGTTACACTCTTTGACGAAAGAATGTTCGAGAGAGAGAGAGAGTGAGAGAGAGAGAGAAAAAAAGAGTCGTTTCGTATGTTTTTTTTGATTGGTAGAAAATGAAAAGGTAGGATTGAAGTATAGAATATAGATGAAAAGTAAAAGCATTGATCTGTGACGACGAACGACGAAGAGGACGAATACGACGAAGGAAGCAATAAACGAGACCATAGGTAAGATATTGATTCTTATAGACGTTGAGCCGTGGGCGATCTTCTTCGATTCGCATGACCAGTAGAGCACAAATTTATATTTTATTCAAAGATTTTTTTTGTTTATAATTAATATTCAATTTATATTAAACAATAGAAAATTAAATAAAACAATAAATCTAACCTAGGTTTTAAATATAAAATTAAATAAAAAAAAAACAAAAGAAAATTTTTTTTATTTTTTGTTTTTGATAGAGAGGGAGAGAGAAAAAAAAAATGTTTATTTATTCGATAAAAAAAAATGAAAAAAAAAGCATGTGGATATTTTAAATTTAGAATGGTTGATAATAATGATGAATATATAAATGATAATATAATGATAAATTATGATTCGAAAAGATTTTCATTAGAGAATTGTTTAAATTCTCATAGAAATCCATCAGATATTGAATATCATTCAAATAATAAACGACGTAAGTTTTAAATCATTTTCGATATTTATTTATTTCTAATATATCGATAAAGGTTTAACAAGACAATCATCAAAAGATAATTCAAATGAAGATGGTTTGTTTTTATTCTATCAAAAAAAAAAACAAAAAAAAAAACAAATTCTTTAATTAAGGTCATGGTGGAATAAATCAATTAGGAGGTTTATTTGTAAATGGTCGTCCATTACCTGATGTTGTTCGACAACAAATTGTTGCTTTAAATCAACAAGGAATTCGTCCATGTGATATATCAAGACAATTAAAAGTTTCTCATGGTTGTGTTTCGAAAATTCTTGGAAGGTTTATTTATATAATTATAAAATAGAAAATTCTATTATTTATTTATTTATTTATTTAAAAAGATATCTTCAAACAGGTTCAATTCGTCCAGGTGTTATTGGAGGATCAAAACCAAAAGTAGCAACACCAAAAGTAATTAATGCAATAACTAATTATAAAAAAGCTCAACCAACAATGTTTGCTTGGGAAATAAAAACGAAATTAATAAATGATGGAATTTGTGATGAAAAAAGTGCACCTTCAGTTTCATCTATAAATAGGTTTGAATTAGATTTTAAAATAATTGTTTAATAAAAAAAAAAAACGTTATTTTATAAAAGAATTGTTCGAACAAAAGCTGAAAAATGTTCAAATAATAAAATCGAAGAAACAAATGTTATATGTCGATCTTCTTCGAATGAAACAAATGGAAGAATAAATGATTGTCATTCATCAACAAATTCAAGTGATGAAATTCCTTTAGATAATTATCAACAATTTCAAACAACATGGAATCATCAAGAGAATATTTATGAAAAAGATTCATGTTAATTTTCATTTTTGTTTTTTTTTTAGAATTAACTTTTATTTATTTATTTATTTATATAGCTGATTCAATATTAATAACAGTTGAAGAAGAAAAAGCATCGATTTTAGAAAATTTTTATCAACAAAATCCATTTGCTGATTTTTCTCAAATGGATGAAATTCAACAACGAACTCAACTTGATGAACAAATTATACGAGTAAGATTAATAAAACAAAAAAAGCAATTATTATTTAACTAATTATAATAATATGTTTTAAGCATTATTTTGATAGTGTTAGAAATCATCAATGGCCAAATCAATCATCATATTATTGTTCAAATTCTCATGAAATATATTCAGTTGAATCAAATCCAAATATAATTTGTTCAAATTCAACTAATTCTTTACCAATTATTGTTGATTCAAGAATTTCTATATCACCTCAATCAATTATTTCATTAGAACAAATGTCAATTATTCACAATCAACGAGGTTTATTTTCTTTTATTTTTATATTTATATATTTAAATAAGAATTTCTTTTTTCTTAAGATGAAAGATTATCAAAAGATGATTCATCAATAATAATAAAAGAAAATAATAATTTATCAAATAAATCTATGATTTTATTAAATTATCCGAGATTATACTCATCATCAAGTGATACATCATTAGATAATTGTCGACAAGAATCAATTGATTATCATCGTTCATCACCATTGCAACAGCAACAGCAACAGCAACAGCAACAGCAACAGCAACAGCAACAACAACAACAACAACAACAACAACAGCAACAACAACAACAACAACAACAACAACAACAACAACAACAACAACAATTATCATCAACAAATCCTCTATATACTGATTTAACACCTGTTATTAATTCAACTCCATTACCATCATTTGAAACATTAAATAGTAATTTAAATATTTATTTAATTATTTAAAATAGATTTAATTTTGTAATTAATATAGGATCTGAATGTTATTTTTATAATCAACAATCATCAGATGATATTTGGAGATCAAAAACAGAAAATAAATCGAATTGAATTATTTATTTGTTAATTACAAAAAAAAAAACAAAAATAAAACTTTTTTTTTTCAAATAATTAATTCGAAAAATTTTCTCAGTACATTTTTCTTTTTTTCTTTCTGTATTAAATAAATAAATAAATAAATAAATAAAATAGAAATAATATTTTTTATTTTATTTAATTAAATCATTAAATTATTTACTAAATTAAAGAAATATTTGTTATTTTATTTATAGAATTCTATCTATATATTCATTTCGATATTCATATATAAATCATTTTTTTAGTTATTATTTATTGAAATTATCTCTCGAGAGATAGATTATTAAATAAATAATATAGAAATAAACGAGTTAAAACAATATTTATTAAATCTATTCTCTAATTAATCTAATATATATTAACTATAACACAATCGAATAGTTTACTTTTATAATAATTGATTTTTTTTTTTTTATTTATTATCTCGATTGGCAAATATTTATTAAATCGAATTATGATCAGTGAGCAAGTTTAGTTAAGAAGAGAATTTAAATAAAATTATTTATTAAATTAGTTAAACATTTTTGAAAAATAATTTAAATTAGTTTTTTTTAAAATTATATTCTAAGATGATTATAAATTGTTCGAGATTTTATTCTAAGGAGAGTCTATTCATTATTTAAAATAGTTTAGTTTATCATAGATAAATCTATACATTTTATATATTAATTAACAAACTGATTCTTTCGACAAACATTTTTTATATAAAATAGATACAATAGAATCGAGTTTATCATTCAATTAACTTGTTTATTACTTCAACAGATTTCATATAGAAATATATAATAAATCAAGAAAAAATATCTTTTTAGATGTTTAACACGAATCTACCAACTACGGGATGCAAGGGTTGTGCATTCCCACTTTTACAAAATTTTCGCTTTTTATCAGTAAAAGTTGTTTATTTTATTGAAAAAAAGATCGTCAGATGGAAAAATAAGGGAAAATAAGGATCTGCACCCCAGCCCCACTTTTTAAAATTTTCTAAATGCATTATTTCATGTTGAAATATTTTAAAAATCCATTCTCAACTTTTGAAAAAGTTCTCTTGCACCCCCTCACCTTTTTCTCTTCGGAAGATCCGTGATGTTTGATTTAGTTACTTATAGAAATTTATATAAAATAATATCTCGAGTTATTCTTTTGGTTGATATTGGTTAAGAAGTATCTTATATATATATACGTTGTGGTCAAAATAAAAATTCAGTCAAATTTAAAATGTTGACCAGGTTAAATTGAAATTTTAATTTTCTCCAAGATAATGTTAGTTAGAAGTAAAATTTTCATTTTTACTGAACGAAATTAAAATTCATTTTTCGATGAAAAGAAAAAGGTAAAGAAAAAAAAAAAGTTAAAGTAGTGAAAATTTTTTTTATTTGAAAAAAATTCTTAAAAAATATTCTACGAATGTGGCTGCAATAGGTCCTTGGAGATCGGGAATTTACATTTAAAATAAATTTCGACTATTTTTTTCATAAGTTAAGCCCCTCTCCCCTCTCCAAAAAAGAATCATCGAAATTGAGATAAATCTATAGGAAAATAGTTCGTCATCTGCTCTTTCACAAATCAGAAATATTTTTATTCAGCGCCTCTTTTTTTCGAAAACATTTCGATGGTTTTCGTCTTTCCCTTTTCGAAAAACAAGCCGTTTTTAGAAAAAGACCAAAAATCATTTTTCATTTTTCTCAGAACATAGGTTTAACAACGTAGCGCCAATAGAACTCTATCAGAGTAAGAGATAAAGTGAAATATTATTTTTGTTTGAAAGGTTGGATCTAACTTATTTGCATATAAGAAAACACCTCTTGAAAAACAGCAACATTTTTTAGGGGTTTTTTCAGTGATTTAACTTCTCATCCCTTTTCTTCATTTAAAAAGTAAGAATATAAAAACAAGGACGACGAGAGAAACTATCTATAGACACAATCTTTAAAAAAAAACAAAAAAAATTCAAATCTATAAAATGAAGGTCCACAGAAAAATGTTGTCACTAGGATAGAGCTATTTTTGAGAGTTGTTTAATGAATATCTCTGTTAAAGATGATGATAGAGGTCTGAAATAAAAAGCATAACCATTGTTGACCATTCCTAACATATGATTAAAGTTTGATGAAAGTTGGATGCTCCTCATCTGAGATCGATTTTTGAGAGTGATCTTTTATTTTAAAATGAATTTTCATTATTTTAATTAATATTTAAAATAAACTTTTTTTTTTTTTCATAATTTACATTTAAAATAAATGAAAATTGTCTTAGGATAACGTTTATTTTAAAAATAAATTCTCATTATTTAAATTTATTTTTTAAAGTTAAACAATGAAAAATTTTTTATTTATTTTTAAAGTTTATTACCGTTAATTTAAATTTATTTAAGTTAATAGGAAAATGAGAACCTTCACGGTTTACTTCTTCCACACTGATCCACACCCATAAACCATTTATTTCAAAATCAACCAACTCTCGTTCACATTCATACGCTTTTTTTTATTAATATTTTATCTTTTTATTTTCATTAATAAAAGTATTTTAATTCTCTTTAGTCAATATTAAAATATTTATTTTGACTGATAAACATTTTTAATTTTGACTGAATTTTTATTTTGACGATAACATTTATATTAGACACAATATATAAACTAAACTCATTGTTAAAGATTAAACTATTTTCAAATATATAGATTTATGCTAGGTTAAATATCACTAGATATTTATATTCAATATCTATAAAATAAACACTCAAATATTTAACCAATAAATAACAATAGGATATCTTCTTCTTACGATATTGACAAAATTGACATGTCATGGATAAGACTATCTATAGGAGCATCGAACTATCGAGTTATTAATTGAGAAGATATAGAGGTTCACTCAAAATTATATATATATATCGAAAAAGAAGAAATCCTATGTGAAAAAGTTGAAAAGTGCGTAATATGTTTAGAATAATAGAATATATCGATGTAACAGATTCTAGTCTATTGATTAGAATAATTTCATAGGAATTAATGTCTCTGAAGAATAATAAGTCACTGTGGATTCTATATCAATCGAAATTTCCTGTCATCATCGATTAGACGATACCAATATATTGTTAGAGAAGTCTTTGACGTCTCTCGTTTTATTCGAATAGATATAGACTAGTTCGAACCATCAGTGTTGCAATTATTTACATCGGAATATTTATATATCAATAGAAAAACTGTTCGGTTTGGGGATTTCGAGTTTTGCTTATAGGATTTATGTTTTGGCCTGTTTTATTAAATGAGAGTAGTGATTATTCTAGTAAACTGATTGAATTTGTTTATCTAGGTTTGTATAATATAAGGAAATAAAGTGAAACTATTATTATAGTGGAAGTAACTGCTAAAATAGGATTATTTTAAAAGTAACTATCTCTATCAATTATTTATTCAAACTTTCAATCGAAATTATTCGGAGAAAGAATATCTATTGAGTATAACTAGAATAAATTTATAAAACTTTATTAAGATTTATACTGATGGAGAATCGAAATTGACCATTATTTTGAGAATGTTTTTAAAAAATGACTCAGAAATTGAGATGTCTAGATCAATAGAATTCTATTATTATATTTAATAAAATTTCATTGTTTAAGTCAAAATTATCGATATATTCTGGTTGGTTACCTCCATGCAGATACTTTTCCTATATAATCGATTATAATTCAATTTGTTTGTCATCATTGAATAGAAGAAAGATTATAGATAACAAATCGAATCATCTCATTTTTTTTTCAATAAAAGACCAAAAGGTATTGATTAAAATATCTAAATTAGACGAAATCATAAGAAAAAAAATTGAAGAAAGACAATATATATATATATATATATAAGAATGATTTTTATTTTTTAGAATTGTTAAACTATAATATCTCTATGATTTTTTTCATAAGAATATATATTATTGACTCTTACACAAAACAATGACACATTAATGGATTTCTAACTGATATTTTTTATTTTTCGAAATAGATTTACCTTCCATAGAACAAGTTAAATAATGGGATTTTCAGATTCGATAATAGATATCCTTCGACAATTCATTACCACCGACATTTCCTCCTCAGATCAAAATCAACTCCTAATCAAAACAAAAATTGACTCTCTCTCTCTCTTTCTCTCTGTCTCTATCTCTGATTGAGAAAAATATGGTTACCGTTATCTATGCCCTCACTATTAACTATTCGGCGAAGAAGTCTCTATGGGAAGTACAATAGTCGGCTTACCCTTTTTCATAAATATCTTATCAATGAGAATGATCGATATAAAGACAAAAAGGTTCAGATAGGTTATAGTTGAAACTTAACATTCGACTATTCAACTATTCAAGTTGTTAACTATTTAGTGTCAGGACAAAACCGATTGAAAGAAAGTGAAAAGACACAGAAGAGTAACTGAGAATGTTATTAAAATCTGTTTGTGTATGATGATTAACAATGGTAGAATAGTTGAATAGTTTATTTTACCTTTAAAGTTTGACACTACTCTTGTCCTAGAGAGATAAATCTTATTATTTTTTCTTTCTTTCCTATATTAGTAGATGACACTACACTATTTTATTCGAACGAACTATAATCAGATTGATTCACCTTATTAGAATAATCATTTATCGAAATGAAGAAAACCGTCAAAATCTACATTCGAAAATCCAAAAAGCGAAAAGTCAAAGGCAAAGATTAGAAAAGGAAAACTAATCAATATTGAAAATTTGCTAATCTAAAAGTGAGTAAAATGTTAAAATGAAAATGTATTGAGTTTAATTTGTTATATTGTCCTATGTAAATATGGTAAGGATAGAGTTTATTGTTGATGTCATATAAACTAATCGAAAAGTCTAAGGTAACTCGAGTTATTTACCTAATTAAGAGTTAACCGGTATTACTCTCTTTATTGTCAAATATTTCAGAATAAAAATCGTCAATAACGAAAATAATTTCAATTATCTGACAG